GAATACACTCTTATTGGAAATGAACAAACCTCCATACTCGTCACAAACGTATTTTAGCGTGTTATTCACATATGAAACATCTACGTCCTGTCTCGGTAAAACTTCTGAGAAATAGACTTTGGTAGTTGGCGACCGATCCTTGATGTTTTTGATGATTTCTACGGCGTCATGTTCAACAGCATCTATATGTCTACGAGATGAGGCATCATTTCCCCCGGCGTGGACAATTATGTGAGAGTAATCTTCAACATCGGTTTGATGTAATTTTGACTTGATTCCGGAAAGTTTGGCGCCTCTGTTGGTTCTCACATGGACACCTTGTTGTAGTCCCCTTGTTCTCACCCTTTGTAAGATAGAGCTGCCTATAATAAGTTTGGCCTCACCAGAAGTTTTCTTTTGTTTAAAGGATCTTGCAGGTGTACTTGCAGGTGTGGGATTGATACATGGTTCCGTGTTTGTACCCGAATCTGATGTATATTTTGCTTCCTTGTCAGGGGCTGTAAAATCACATTGTGTGTGTCGAGATGCTGAATTTTGTGGTAAAGAGTTCAAACCCTGCACATCGGTTTCCTTGTTTTTCACTACCCTAAAAAGTGTCTGTGTGTTTTTGTCCAACAAAGTAGGGTTGTTTTTGCATCTGAGTTTCTCTTTTAATTCCTGTATTTCATGTGCTAACTCACTGACAGCCGATTGTAGGGCTTGTATTGTACCTGCACACTGTGTACAATTTTGAAAATTGTCAGTACTGGCTGTCAGAAGAGATCTAGAATCATTTTTCACAGGCGTTGATGACATTTGTGGAATAGATTGTCCCAACATACTACTAATGCTGTTAGAGTTTTTGATGTCATGAAGAAATTTGTCCAGCCAACTTTGCCGACGATCCTTGAATGTGCAGGACGCTGGTGCCAGAATAGAGTGTGGCTGTCACAGTGTTACACTCAAACTTGAAAATCTGACCATTCTTCCCTACTTCTTTAATTGCATTAAGTTCTTCTTCCAAATAGTTCAAAATAGTGGCATATTTGTCTTGTTGAAATGATACAGTTATGCTGTATTTGTTAGGTCACCTGAGTAAACTCAGGTGACCTATTGAGTAAACTCAGGTGACCTATTGCCATCTGTTTTCGTCCGTCGTCGTGCGTCGGGCGTCGTGTGTTAACATTTGAACATTTTCAGCTTCTTCTCTGCAACCACTGAACCAATTTCAACCAAATTTGGCACAAAGCATCTATGGGTGAAGGGAACAAAATTTGTAAATTCATGATCCCTGCCCCCCTGGGGCCTGGGGGGTGGGGCCAAAACCACTTAAATTAATGCAATCTTTAAAAATCTTCTTCTTTACTCCTGGACATCAAGCAGTCAAACTGTTTGCATGATTGTAATCAGCATTGAGTCCTTTACCAAAATTGTGAAATTCATGGCCCTGGGGTCAGGGGTACTTGTGCTAGGATGGGGCTAAATAAGTATATAGTGAAAATGCATTATTTCTTTGAAAATCTTCTTCTCTGCTCCTGGGTATTAAATAAACTAATTAAGTACATAGTTTTGATGAGCAAGAGTGCCTCTATTAAAATTTTGAAATTCATGGCCCCAGGATCAGGGGTTCTGGTGTTAGGGAGGGGCTCTATTGATTATATAGTGAAAATACATGAATTCTTTGAAAATCTTCTTCTCTGCTCCTGGGTATTAAATAAACTAACTAAGTACATAGTTATGATGAGCAAGAGTGCCTCTACCAAAATTGTGAATTTTATGGCCCCAGGGTCAGGGGTTCTGGTGTTAGGGCGGGGCTCTATTGATTATATAGAGAAAATACATGAATTCTTTGAAAATCTTCTTCTCTGCTCCTAGATTTTATATAAACTAACTAAGTACATAGTTATGATAAGCAAGAGTGCCTCTACCAAAATTGTGAATATTATGGCCCCAGGGTCAGGGGTTCTGGTGTTAAGGGGGGAGGGGCTATATTAATAATACATGTATAGTGAAAAAACATTAAATCTTTGAATATTTTCTTCTTTGCACCTAGGTTTTAAGCAGATGAACTACCTATATAGTTATGAACAAGGGCCCTAATCTTCAAGAATTGTAAATTTCAAGGCCCCACGGTCAGTTGTACCATAGAGGGGGTGGGTGGGGGGAGGGGGGCTGTACTTATGTACTGAAAATGAATGAATTGTTTGAAATGTGCTCCTTGGTATTAATCAAATATTTTTGAAAAGTATGAATGCCTTTCCAAAAATTGTACAATGTGTTGATCTAGGCCTAAGAGTCAAGGGTTCATGTGTGGTAGTGGCACTACTCATTATTGCTGTATATTACTGATTTGTTGAAATGCATTTTTTGTTCCCCTACCCTGCCTATGGGTATTAAGTAACCAAACTAAGGAACTGCTAAGTGTATAGTTATGATGACCAAATTGTAAATGCTATAGCATCTGGCTTAAAACATGGATCAAATTCAATCACTGGAAAGTTGTTGAATAATGCTCGGTGACCTATAAGGCCCATGGGCCTCTTGTTAAAAGTCACATTCAAAAAACTTGGTATACTCACTCCATTAGGTGTAATAATTCCAGCTTCACTAAATGTTTGAGAGAGTCCAGAAAAAGATGTAAACAAGCTCGAGTTAATACTTTGATCCATAATTATTTTAAGATTTAGTCAGGTATTTAGCCATAGTACCCACAGTATTATCACTCATAGCAATTAGGCACAGGTATCATCATGTGAAGTTTCATTACACAACTTGAATGGTTTCTTTAAAATAAAGCTAAACACTAATTTAAAGAAAAGTTAAGTGAAGGTCAAAGGAAAAGTCAAAGTCAAAAAATATTGCTGCAGTTGGATATTTAGATCAGTATGCATCAACATATGAACTTTGATAAAAATATCTAGAAAGTTTCTTTGAGCCCGATGGAAAGACAGATGGAAGGGTGGAGGACAGACATGACAAAAACTATACATGTATTCCTAATCATGGTGTGGCATAAAAACTTGAATCTACATTATATGAGGATGTTTTCATATATCAAGATTATACAAGCAAATTCAAAGAATTATGGTCCTCTGCTTTCTGTGTTCTAGTGAATGGAATGCCATAATTTATGGCAGATTGTGTGTCAAATATGCACCCCTATTATATGTCAATTTTGAAAATTAGGTCAAAGGGAAAAAAATCATAGCATGCTCGGAAACATTTTGTTGCAGGTAATGTACATGTCAAATATGAAAGTCCTATCTCTTTTGAATCAAAAGTTATATATATAATATAATATTTTTGAAAAGTAGGTTAAACTTCTAGGTCAAGGTCACAGAGTCAAAGTCATGATATATTTAGAAAAGTCTTTTCACTTGTAATATACATGTATAATTTGAATGCCGTATCTTTTCTCTTTCAAAATGATCAATTTAAAATGTTATTTTTTTGGAAAGTAGGTAAATCTTTAAGGTCAAGATCTCACTTGGGTTAAAAAATCATAATATATTTAGAAAGTTTTGAGGTAATGTACATGTGAAATATGAAAGCCCTATCTCTTATTATTTAAAAGTTATGACCAAGGTTAAATTCATTGTGACAGATGCACATACTGTCAATAAGATGGACAGACTGACAGACAAATGAGATTTAATGTCCCCTCCCTTTTCCAAAAAGGGGGGACAATAATGCCCTTGCTGTTCTTGAGAAGATTTATGATGGAAAAAATCCTGGCATATTTCTTAACGCAAATCTGAATATTGTGTTTTTATTTCATTTGTTTGTTGTTAAACATCCCTCTCAGGAATTTTTCACTCATATGGAGACACCACCACTTGAAAAATAATGAGGACAAATCAGATTTGAGGTCAACATTAATTCATTTTAGGAGTTTTCAACCATTAAGACGTAAAGAAATATTAACTCAATCCTTCCCCTCACCCCTTCCTTGACCCCTGTTTGTTCATGTATGCAAACTATCCCTTTTTTTACACTTAAAAAAATGTTTATACAAACAGTTTAATGTGGTCCATCTCTGAATGATTTTCATTCCTAATTCTAGGAGGATAGGTTGACACAAATTCATGAATAAAATGTCAAGCAATCTTATCATTGGTCCAGTCAACTTCATGAAATATAATCCAATTAAAACACAAAATGAAATAATTCCTACTGACATACATGCAATGATGTGTATACCACACTGCACGAGCAGAGCAATCTAAAAATGATAATGGTAAAACTAGTACTTAAGCTGGGTATGTGACGCAAGCCCAATGTGATGCAGGTGTTCAGATAGATGTATGGGACAAGAACAAATTGAAAATTATCATTTACAAAAGATGTTTTATCTTAACTTTGCCATCTAGGCCTATTTCCAAAAACAGGCAAATAGGGTGTGTTTGTGTGTCAGTGTGTTGACAGAAGAGGGGTGGGGGTTGACTAAATTGATTGGGTATATGGCAGCTTTCAAGGAGTTTCTGCCTAATCAAATACTAAGTATAAAAAAAGTTTGCACATTTTGAAAAATTCATCAAAAACGCTTTACACTAATTTGAATAATATTATTTGTTGCTGATCTATATGAGAAAATAGATTTAAAAAGTTCCAATTATGGGCCAAAAATTTATATCCCCCCTTTATCAAACCTAATTTACATCTTTAATTTAATTCTATTGTTTAATTTCAGACTGGTAATGAATTAAGAATATGAAATACCTATAAGATCGAGGCCCATGGGTCACATGGTCACCTGAGCATATTAAGCTCAATTTGATGAATACATACGTAAATTATTGAATTATATTGACTTTTTCCTTGGTAAAGCCCAATTTGAAGGAGTGTGCATTTAGAGGCAAACACCTTAGTGCGGGTATTACTGTCTCATGACAGCATCTAGTTTATAACTGGGTTACTGCATTTGTTCCAATTCACTCAGAAAATAAGAAGGTGAGGTTAGATGTGATTAACTTTTATGATTATTTGCAATTTTTATGTTAAATAAAAATTTACAAGTATAAATAAATTCTCCTAGGTATCTTATTGATGCAAAATGGTTCAAACAGTGGAAAAAGTATGTAGGCTATGATCAGTGGGACCTAAGTAGTGTTGGAGAGCAGGGTGCCTACCCAGGGCCAGTTGACAATTCACCTCTAATGAAAGGTAAGTACAGTCCCTGAAACCTTCTACTTTCCTATTTTTCCGTTTACTCACGGTTCGTTCAGCGTGCATTCACCGTTCACGCTCCGTTCACAGTTTTGCGTTCACCGTTCACCGTGCGCTCAGGTTCACCATTCACCATTCGCTCTTCGTTCCATTTACTTTGCATTCATCTTGCGTTCACCGTTCACTTAATGTTCAGTCTTTATTGTCATTCGGAACTCCGAAGTGAAAGGACTTATCATTTTGATGGTAAGGATTTTACACGTTTTTTAATTAAATTACTAAGATATCGTGTTTGAAGAATAATTATTTCATTGCAAAAAGTATCAACGATATTTATTATATTTCTATTATTATAGCTTAGCTGTTACTTTATACATGAAATTTCCCTGGAAAATAATACATTAAGTACCTACATGTACGTAGAACGATGCTAAAATATTAAATTTAAATAAGTCAATGTACAAATACTTCAAGCACGGCAACATTTTGTTGTAATGTAAAAGACAACAAATTGTTAATGGATGGATAATAATCCAAGTCTTTTACAAGACAAGAATACAAAAAAAAATTTTCTGACATGTATTTTTAAAAAATGCAGGAAAACATGTTACAGCTACATGTACGTCTGAAAATTATAAACAGTACTGCAGATATTCAGTTAATTAAATATCTTTAGAGCGAATTAAATTGATAAATTGACAGTGTGAATTTAAATTAAAAAAAAAGACCAACTGTTTAAGATGTAATGCATTATGATTTTTTTACTACTTTACATATATAAAGTCTATTAATAGAGAGGGAAAATTCCTTCCTTCACTGTACGTAAATATATGTTTGCCATTCAGTATGATTAAGAGCCCCCCCCCCTCCCCTACGCCTTTTCTCCCGAAATCATATTCTTAGTATTTTCAGTATATTTTAATTAATATTTAATGTGTATTGTAACACAAGAAAATCAGTCTTAAAACAAACTTTAAAACAGTCATTAAACAATAGTATTTCAAAATATACATGTGCCGACAGTAGTATTTTAAATTGGCAGGGAGTATGTTTCAAATTCAAACTTAATACTTCCAAGTATATATTCCCATTATTCATTTATTTTTTCTGCAGAAATGCGAAAATCAGATGTAGAGATTATAGATTACTGATAGGAAAAAATGTTAAAACTTCTTGGAAATACTAAGTGACTTCGGCATGTTCGGTGAAACGAGATTTCCACACCTCCACTGTGTCGAATGATTTTGATTAACTGGACAAGCACGTGGACCTCATGTGAACCATGTGAAGTTGATGAAGGAAAATAAAAGTTGATGATTACTGTCAAATGGATTTGTTAATTTTCAAAAGAATGGTTACTTTCACTGCCTGGAATATTTAGAAAAGAAATAATAATATGAATTTTTAGGTCACCTGAGTAAACTCAGGTGACCTATTGCTATCCGTTTTCATCCGTCGTCGTTCGTCGTTTGTCTTGCGTTAACATTTGAACATTTTCAGCTTCTTCTTTGAAACCACTGAACCAATTTCAACAAATTTTGGCATGTAGCATCTATGGGTGAAGGGGAAAAAATTGTGAAATTTATGGTTCTTGCCCCCCCCCCCCCCGATGGGGCCTGGGGGTGGGACCAAAACCACTAATATTAATGCAATTTTTAAAAATCTTCTTCTTTACTCCTAGACATCAAGCAGTCAAACTGTTGGCATGATACTTATCAGTATTGAGTCCTCTACCAAAATTGTGAAATTTATGGCCCCAGGGACAGGGGTTCTAGTGCTAGGGCAGGGCTCCATTGATTATATAGTGAAAATGCATCAATTCTTTGAAAAGTTTCTTCTCTGCTCCTGGGTATCAAATAAACTAAGTACATACATGTAGTTATGATGGGCAAGAGTGCCTCTACCAAAATTGTGAATTTTAGGCCCCAGGGTCAGGGGTTTTGGTGCTAGGGCAGGTCTCCATTGATTATATAGTGAAAATGCATCAATTCTTTGAAAATCTTCTTCTCTGCTCCTGGGTATCAAATAAATTAACAAAGTACATAGTTATGATGGGCAAGAGTGCTTCTACTAAAATTGTGAATTTTATGGCCCAGGGTCAGGGGTTCTGGTGTAAGGGCGGGGCTTTATTGAATTTATAGTGAAAATATGTACATTAATTCTTTGAAAATCTTCTTCTCTGCTCCTGGGTATCAAATAAACTAACTAAGTACATAGGTATGATGGGCAAGAGTGCCTCTACCAAAATTATGAATTCTATGACCCTATGGTCTAGGGTCAGGGGTTCTGGTGTGGTAGGGCAGGGCTCCATTGATTATATAGTGAAAATGCATTTATTCTTTGAAAATCTTCTTTCTGCTTCTGGGTATTAAATAAACTAATTAAGTATATAGTTATGATGAGCAAGAGTGCCTCTACCAAAATTGTGAATTTTAGGGCCCAGGGTCAGGGGTTCTGGTGTTAGGGCGGGGATTTATTGAATTTATAGTGAAAATACGTACATTAATTCTTTGAAAATCTTCTTCTCTGCTCCTGGGTAATAAGCAGATGAACTATTATAGTAATGATGTGCAAAGGCTCTTCTTCCAGAATTGTGAATGTCCAGGCCCCTGGGTCAGGGATACCATAGAGACAGGGGGGGGGGGGGGCTTTACTTACATGTATATACTGAAAATGAATTGTTTGAAATCTGCTCCTTGGTACATGTATTAATCAAACATTTTTGATAATAGTGCAATGTGTGGACCTAGGGTCATCAGGGTTCATTTGTGGTAGGGGCACTTCTGATTATTGCTGAATATTACTGATTAGTTGATATGCATTTTTATGGCGTGGAACTTGGTCGATCGTCATCTAGCGATCAGTCAGGTTTACGCGACCGTATGTGTCAGTGGATGCATCCGCAATAGAAAAAAGCAACAGCTGTAAACCAATTTCTTTTAAAACGTTCACAATGAATAATAGCTTGAATATAAAATTAAATCAATTGTATCTTCAATTAATACTACTACAAAACATCGATATTATGTTGAATTTTTACGCAAGAAAAACGTTATGGTTGTTGCGGATGAATTTCTACAGAGAGGGTGCGTCGAATGACATGAATCACATTTTGGGACTGATTAATGTAATACAAACAATCCTAAATACGATAAAATAATTACAAAATAAACACGAATACAACAAGACTTTCAAGATTGAATTTTTTAATCTTAGCTTTACTTTTACTTTCTTCAATTTTATCCGAACAACCGATGATAACAGATATTGACCAGTAATGCCAGTATTACTGTACTTATCCATTTCCTCCATTTGTTTAACGCGCCATGTCATAAGTGGATCGTACTTGTAACATTAGAGTTATGGTTGTAGTTAAGATGCAATCACTATACAAGAGAACAACGCTCTGACAATGGCAATTAATAAGAATAATTTATGAAACCCTTCATAGGTCTTCGATTGACTGAAAAGAAATTAGATTGATATAGAGCATGGCCATTTCTGACAATGTCTGGTCAATTCGAACCCTGACTCATTCGGACCAGGACATAAGGCTATAAGGCCCTATACTGTATTTGTGTTAAGACTATTTTTTTCAAATTTTATTTTTATGTTACCGAAATCACTCACTTGACCTATCTGCAGATCTTTTGAAATTGTTTTTCTTGTTCGATGCCATTGAAGCCTTTCAGGCTTTTGATTTGATTACCCTGCCTATGGGTATTAAGGAGGCTTGGGGGTCAACAAATTAACAACAAATTAACCACCAACTTAAATTTTTAGATATATCTTTAACTGTCAACTATCATTTGACAAAGAAAATTTCATACATATTAATTTTAAAATTTGATTATTTTTGTATATCTTTATATGGCGCTCTTCTTCTAAAGGAGATCGAAGTAGTCTAAAAATGGCCATGACCACCCAGCCCCTTTAAGTAACCAAACTAAGCAATTGCTAAGTTTATTGTTTAGGATTAACAATGATGCCAGCCTCTTTCAAAATTTTGAATGTCATAGCATCTACCTTAAAACATTAACCTAATTCAATCATTTGAAAGTTGTTGCATGATTCTCATGTCACCTATAAGGCCCATGGGCCTCTTGTTATTTGATACAACAGATATCTGAGAATGGAGGAGGGGGCTTAAATCTCTCTCTCTCTCCATCTCTCACACAATTGTCTGCTCAATAAAAATTATGACAGCATATTACTTATTTGGTTCTGAAAATCTAATCTATTACAAATAATTTGAATGCCTCTTTCCATTATCTTGTCCGAGTATAATCAAGGCCGGAAAATGTCTACGAATGTATACATGTACATGTAGAACTTTACTAAATCAAAGTACTCAGAAGTACAGAGAGCCGGGCTCATTTACAGAGTAGAATGGATTTCTTACATGAATCACGTTTATATTCTGATGAAAAAATTATTTTAAAACTATCAATATAAATAATAAGACACTGACAGTGAGTTTTTCAATCCTAATACCACGGTCCGATTTTGTCAGAATCAGAATTAATCTGGTACCGCAGCTGAATGTAAACAAACAGGCCAGTCTGGTTCCCCCTCCTGCTTTACCTCGTATTTGTAGAGAACTACGGTAACACTGATTATCAAAAATCCTTACGCTAATGAACTATGTTCTTTGACTTATGAAGTTTTCAAAGTCATTACTACTAATGTTTATTTTATATAGATAAAACTTCGTTTTATTTTTATTGCTTTATTTAGCGTTTGTATTATCTCAAAAGCGGTTGAGAGTAAGAACTATATTTTTGCACATAACTTTGAAATGGCGACTATGGGGTTAACATCCTGCCTTGAACAGGATCACATAAGCCGGCAATTGCTCTTTGAGCAATAAGCCCGGCTAAAAATCATCATAAAAAATAAAAATGACACATAGATATAATATTATTGCATTAAAATTTTAAAATACAAGTGTATTTATGCAATACGTCAACAGACGTTTACACGGAATGGCCTTTGCTCGGAAATATATAATATATGGTTTTTACAACTGTGGTACAATGTAATTAATTCATTCTTTACGAAGTAGTTTTCTCTTCTGAAGTTCACACTATTTTATTAGTTAAAAGAATAAGCATATTTATTTTATTAGCAGATTAATGTTTTATATTACACATGTTTGGTAACAGTTACACATGTTTTACGGCAATAGAAATCCTATTATTGAAATATTGAGTTTAAACATCATACATATAAGCAGAAATTTTTTAAAATCATTTATTTATTTATCTATTGATTGTTTATTTATATTTTAGCACCTATCATTAGAATACAACAGAATAGTTTCAATGCAAGGAATAGATCGGAGGCATTCCAAATAAATCGTTCATGTTGCATTCACCGTTCACTTTGCGCTCGCGTTTGCGCTCCGTTCGCGTTCTGCGTTCACTCCCCGTTCTCCCTTGACACTTCATTCACCAAATTGTGTTAAGCATTCATATATCATTCACTCACTGTTCGCTCTGCGTTCGTTCACCATTCAGGTGAGAAAGTAGAACGTTTCAGGGACTGTACAACATATATTATCATCATGTTGGTTCCTTTTTAGTAACCAGAGTAAGTTTACCAAAAAGTAGGTTACCATGGCCTACTTTTTGAAATGTCATGGCTATATCTTAATATTTCAGATAATAAGAGGCTTAATATCATCACTTTTTGTTAGTTGATTATCCTGGGCTCTCAGAGTGTTTTAACCAAAATGTATGTCATGATGACCCACTTTTGGAATTTCAAGGCGTTATTTAACAAAATGCCTAGAGGCTTCAAATATAAGTGATAGATGATACAATTTATCAGAAGAGTGATTCAAGGCCCTTAGGCCTCTTGCATGAAATCGTCATTAAAATCAAATCCCATCAGTACTTTCAGTAATTTTATTTTTCTAACCAATGTGCCAGGTGAGCAACTTGGCCTACATGCATCTTATTTGATGGCAGTATAGGGTATTTTTCCTAAATTACAGTGTTTGATTCTGAAATACAGTAAAACTCGGTTATAACAAAGTCACTTGGACCTATGAAATTACTTTGCTATATCAGTAATTCGTTAAATCCATATAAGGAATTAGTTAAATTTATAAATCTGGGGATCCAAGATAACTTGGCTATATCCATGAATTTGCAATATCAGTTTTCCTACTAATTGAGTTTTGCTGTAATTTTTCACATTTGTGTGCTTGGACCTCAGTGTTTGTTTTATCATGTTTATTGCCAAACTGAAAATAAGAATGAAACGCAATTTATTTTTTTATATTGCAGAAGGCACACAGGAATTAAAAGACCATTTAATTGATGAACTTGATTATATTTTAATACCTAAAGAAGGCTGGGAGAAAATTATCCAGTGGTATGGACTAACTCAGGGCCAGGTATTTCTTATATACTGTGAAAGCAGAAATATTCGTGGGGGATTAAATTTCATTTATTTCCTTGTTAACAATTATCAAGGAAATTAAATCCCTCACGAAATTTTATTTGACTATATTCAGTTTTGTTCAAATCATGACCCCCGAGGATAGGGCGGGGCCACAATTGACAATCAAAGTTTTACATAGGAATATATAGGAAAAATCTTTGATAATCTTCTTCTCCAGAATCACTGGGCCAGTAAAAATGAAACTTATATGGAAGCATCCTCAGGTAGTGTAGATTCAGTTTTGTTCAAATCATGACCCCAGGGAATAGGGTGAGGCCACAATTGAAAATCAAAGTTTTACAAAAGAATATATAGGAAAAATCTTTCAAAATCTTCTTCTCAAGAACCACTGTGCCAGAAAAGATGAAACTCATATGGAAGGATGATCAGGTAGTGTTGATTCATGTTTGTTCAAATCATGACCCCCCAGGGATTAGGGTTGAGCCACAACTGATGATCAAAGATTTTACATAGGAATATATAGAAAAAAATCTTTGAAAATCTTCTTCTCCAGAACCACAGGACCAGGAAGGATGAAACTTATGTGGAAACATTAGTGTAAATTCAAATTTGTTCAAATCATGACCCCCGGGGATAGGGCTGGGCCACAATTGACAAAGTTTTACACAGGAATATATAGGAAAAATCTTTGACCAATCATCTTTTCAAGAACCACTGTGCCAGTAAAGGTGAAACGAATATGGAAGCATCCTCAGGTAGTGTAGATTCAATTTTGTTCAAATCATGACCCCCCAAGGGTAGGGCAGGGCCACAATTGACGATCAAAGACTTACATAGGAATATATAGGAAAAATCTTTGAAAATCTTCTTCTCAAGAACCACTGGGCCAGGAAAGATGAAACTTATTTGAAAACATCCTCAGGTAGTGTACCAGTAGATTCAAGTTTGTTCAAATCATGACTCCCAAGGGTAGGGCGGGGCCACAATGGACGATTAAAGTTTTCCATAGGAATGAATACATCGGAATTTTTCTTTAAACTTTTTTAGCTCACCTGAGCTGAAAGCTCAAGTGAGCTTTTCTGATCACATTTTGTCCGGCGTCCGTCCGTCTGTCCGTCTGCCTGTCTGTAAACTTTTCACATTTTCGACTTCTTCTCAAGAACCGCTGGGCCAATATCAACCAAACTTGCCACAAAGTATCCTTGGGTGAAGGGGATTCAAGTTTGTTCAAATGAAGGGCCACGCCCTCATTCAAGGGGAGATAATTGGGAATTAATGAAAATTTGGTGGCATATTTTAAAAATCTTCTTCTCAAGAACCACTGTGCCAGGAAAGATGAAACTTATGGGCCTCTTGTTTTTTAAGAACCACAAAGCCATGATTGGTCATATCTTTATGTAAGCATCCTCACGTAGTGTTGATTCAAGTGTGTTCAAGTCATTAACGGGAAGCAGGGGTTGGGTAGGGTTGGCCACCATTGGGGATCAAAGTTTTGCCCAGAAATATCAAGGAAAATTTTTTGCCCAAGAAAAAGAAAAGCCATGTTTAATCATATTGATATGAAGGCATCCTCAGGTAGTAAAACGTCAAACTAGTTCAAATAAGGGCTCCCAGGGGTAGGGCTGGGCCACAAGATGGGGGGGGGGGTCAAATGAATAAATTGGAAAAAGTTCATCTACTTAAAAACAGCAAAGGCATTTGTTGTATGGAAGCATCATCAAGTAGATGGAAGTTTAAAATTCCAGACCCCCCCACCCCCTTGTAAACTTCTCAATACTGCAGTGATTTCTGCTTTTATTTCCTACACAATGTGCTCAGGTGAGCGATGTGGCCCATGGGCCTCTTGTTTTAAATTTCAACTCAAAGGTGGAGATTTGAGATTATTATTGAAAATGTCGAAATTCCTATCTTAAGGTTGATCTATGAATCGTTTAATTACGGGTATTTGAACATACATGTAATGGTTGCACAAAAATCCCATAGATTTGTGCTGTTTCTCACTGGTATACTGTATAGCAGGTTAAAATCTCGGTCGGAAAAGATCGCGATTTGTTCAGTTTTCAGCAAATCGCAGTCGTTTGAATTCGCGGAAACGAAAATCATAAATTTCTTTAATAGTACTTGCAAGCATTTTTCTTTAGGTATATATCGTGTGAACTGATATTTCCTGTCTCTATCTTACGAAAGTCTGTACATGTATATCGCGCATATCAGACAGGAAAGTCATATCTATATTGTGTCGATTTTGATCCCGATTGAATTAAAACACCGGACTGATTCGATTTGAAGTCAAAATAATGTTACGCATTCAGATTTTTTTTTATTTCATGGTCCAAATCAGAAAAAAAAAATACCGTAGTCAAAATGTTGAACTTTTATTCATCTAATTGAAATTAATTAATTGTCGTTACCCTGTTTACCACGTAAGTGCCTTGATTAAAGGTAATGACTGAGTGATACGCACGGGTAAAATTAAACAAGTAGGTTTTATTAAATAATTACATCGCACGTCTACTAGATGGTATAATAATAGTTAGCTATAGAAAATAACTGAACAATTAATAAGCTTTAAAAACACCAACAGCTACGTGTACACTCGCATAATTGTAAAGACAGTCTACATCTAATCACAGATAATAATAAAATTTAAATTTATTCTAAGGCTTATAAATCTTTTAAAGAATTATTCACTGTATGTTGAATTCGCGGAATTTCTTTTCCCGTGAATATAGCAAATATTAACTCCGCGAGTTAATTTCCTGCTGTACAGTACTATTATATATTTATAAAACACTATAAATAAATTTATTTTGTTATTAATGAAAACAAAAATACATTTGTACCTAAAACATTTATCTACAAGTACTAACTTAGTTATTTCACAGAAGAAATTTACGCTGTAAATTAAATATTTGTATTTAATGTCTAAAGCTTACAATCTGCGGTTGCAATTAAATATTCAAATCTTAGGAAACAACTACACGTCGAAAGAAAATCAAATTTCTGAGTAGAAATCTAAACAAATATTAATATAATAGTGCTCTGCTTCAATACATGTAAACTGTGTCAACAGAAGATGAATCTGCTACAACTGCACATGTACATGTAGGTGTACGGTAAGCTCTCATATACATGCATGTGAACATTTATATTTCAGATACTTAAAACCTCGTATTAATTAATGAACATTGAATGATGAAATACATTTTCTTTACAATACAAAACACAAAAAATAATAAATATTAAAAGAGTGAAATGTGACTTTTCTGACTAAATAATTATAAATCATTGCAATTAGACTTTGACTGTGTGTACTGTTACTAAAATAATTTAAAATAGGTTTAAGTCAGCAAATGAATTAAAACCTTAAAAATTATTATAGACTTGATCTCATATGAGGCATAATTGAAGGGCGGGATGTTGAAAGTCTAAAACCAATTTAATTAAAATTAAATAAACAAGATATAACCAAATAGCCAAAAATAAAATCGACTTCTCAAATAAAGTTACGTTCGGAATGAAATCGATTAATACTATAAATTGATTCGGTGTAATACATTTACTCGTCTTGCATGGTCACGGTGGAATCAGACAACTTCTTTTGTTTCATTATAATAGTAAAATAGTAAAATATCAAGAAAAAAGAATGCAAGCAAATTTTCATAGTTTAGAATGTTAGAATTATTTCACCCTTTTCAACGATCAATGAAACTGTTTCCTAGAATTAATTCTGTCTTGATTACACAGAAAACCCGATGATCCGAAAGTTCATGTACCATAAGTGCAGTATTTTTTTTTAAAGTTTATTAAAAGACTTATTTACATAGTCATTATGGAAACATCGTACAATGAAATAAATCAGTGGTTGGAGTTTAGGGACTTTATTTCATTAAATTTATTTATATGAATTTTTATTTAAATTCAAGAAAAAAAATCAAGCAAGGAAACGGTTTTTTAAAAAATCCTTAAATTGTACAATCATTTGATTTATTTAGAATAAAATCTTTAACGATTGTTGTTCACACAAGTTATGAACAGAATCTCGAAAATAAATACTATTTGACACAAGATGAGAGAGCAGTTCAGGTATGTTGACGGTGAACATAAGTCTCATTTAGGGGTATAGGGGAGAAGGGGGAGGGAGTGTTGACCGCACAGGAAGGCAGTGTGCTGATTAGAGAGGTACACATTCGTGTCAGTTTTCTGGCAAGGAAAACTCTTTTATTTGACACTCAGATGCATGGTATTTTCAGTTTATTTCTAGGCCAAAAAGGTAAGCTGTTAAAAGTCATCATGTTTTTCTTGAATATATTATTTTTCGATAAACTAATGTAAGATAAAATTAATAAGAAAACTTCTATTTTATTGTAACTGCCACGGTGTGATAAATAGAGTAGAGCATTTCATGTTTTATAATTTTGATTTTTTTTTTGTTGTAAATTTAGACATATCAAGGAATTTAGCTAATTAAATAGTGATTAAAAAAATTCAAAAATTGAGCGTAAAATTGGTGTTAAAGTTATCTGGATCAATGTCTTATGTTTTATCATTTTTGTAATATTAATATTTTAAATAATTGTGCATACATGCAGATCAGAGGTGTAAGTACATTAATATTATCAGACAATTGATCAAGAAAAAATGAATAATTTTTACGAAAAAAATATCATACAATTCAATAAATTAAAAAAAAGAAGACCATGGGATCGATTATTCCATTTCGGAAATAAGTTTTAAATTTAGATAATCACTCTCTGCTTGACCATGATATAATTATTTTCTTTATTTATTTTATTATAGATAAATCAATTTATTGATTAATTATGTTATTTCTTTATTCCTTTCCTTCTATGCTTTTGATGGAAACCTAAGGAATAAATCTTTTCTCTTTCTTGGTAAAGGTAATCTTATTTTAGTTAACAAAACGAAAAAGGAACTCGGAATACCTCGCTAGTTTCTTCCTATAGTAACGATAAAAAGCGAGGGTTTCCG